CTACCTGGTAATGGTTAAAGACAATCACAATAGTCACTTTGTTGAACAATAAAGACTCAAGTAATTCTTGTATTTTATATATAGGTTTGTTTAAGAAACTTCTATATATGATTGGTCGAGTCTTAATCTCATAACATTTTATTAGATTATGAATGATAGACTATATTTTAGTATATGTTACGAAGATTTGTCGTTTGTTTATTAAAATTCTGATAATTTACATAATTAAATCACTAAGACATATGATATATTATGGGCATTCAAAAATTATTAGGACCAATATTTTGGTGCACATTCATGTGGCAATTAATGGGCAGAGTACATTAAGCAATGCAAAATCCTTCAAATCCAACTTAATGCACTCTAGAAATGCTTGGAATCATATTAACCAAACAATTTTTTTTACAGTACCACCAATCCTCATAAACATTATAAGTCTCCAATTCAAATCAAACTTTCTGATGATATATACTTACACATGAACCATCAACTTAATAACCTAATTCTCCTCTTGATGTGCGCAGAAACAAAATTCATATATATTTACACCTGTTCATATTTGAGGTAGCCGCTCTTGAGAAATAAAATTCAGACAGATCATATTGTAGTCATGCAACAAAAGTTACAAGTATCCAATTCCTTTGCTGCTGACACTGAAACTTCTGGTGAAGAATACATCCTAGATATGATCCTTTTTCCAGGTCTTATTGTTGTAGACTAGGCAGGTTCGCGTGGACGAGCAGCCCAAAGTGAACTCAGAGCACGAAGACGGTGAAAATATTCTCCCAAGGCAAGTAAAGCTCGAGCTGCTTGACGGGTTGTTAGGATCCGGGACATTTGCTGCATTGTCTGTTGTCGAAGATGATCTGCCTGTTCCAAAGAAGTCCAAAGCATGAGAGAAATTTAGAAAAGCACTCGATTTTCATATGCAAACTATCAAAGAAATAATATTATACCTGGTTCACAAAGCTCTCTAGCGCTTCCAACTTCTCCACTGCATCAGCCATCTGAGACTGGTAGCTCCCTGAACTCATTTGATCAGATACTATGCTCTGGGCCAGAGTTTGCTGAAGTTTATCTATTCCTTGTGAAAGAGCTTCTTCAGCTTGCTGAGAAGATTGCTGAAGGTTACTCACGCATTGAAGCTGCTGATCAGTCAAGGGCTCAAGTTGTGGCAGAAGAATCTGTAAAATCAAAATCTGCAGTGTCACAATTCATGTGCTGATAGTCGCACCATGTGTATTATAAATAAAGTGAATGGTCTCAGCCAAAAACAGCGCAGCTAGTACATTTTATACACAGAATTGAATGAATGATGTTCTTGAAGATCGAGGATAATGGAAAAGGAGATTATAATCACAGTGAGCTAACAAATTTGAAATTAGAAGAAAAAAAAATCATGAAGAAGTCTAATGCTCAATGGGCTGACGATATAGGCTTGATTAAAACTGGATCAAACAATTCCCTAAGACCCACAACAAGCTGCAGACAAAATGCTCATAATCATATTAAACATTCTTTAAAGAATAGTTATCCTGAACTACATCTTACATTTAGAAGCTCTGATGGGCGGAATCCTCCTATCCATTGGAAAAAGCGTTCTGTTGAAGTTCTCCACACACCAGAAATCAGATAGAAGACATCAGCCTTGGCAGCATCGCCTTTCATGCGGAAAAGATTATAATAATGGTTCAAGCCACTTTCTACAAGTATTCGGAGCTCAATGTCAGTTATATGAGCTTGCATTGCATTTCTAAGCTCACATATCTGTCTATTTTGCTCTTCAATCCAGTGTGCATACTCAATCTCAAATGCAGCGATCCCTGCCATATGCAAAAATATAGTACTTTAAAAGAGAAAAAATATCTGTAGGCAGATGATATTTAACTTAAAATAGCTCAAAGAGAAACACTTCACGGTAAATAGGTAACTACTAATCATGCTACTTCAAAAGCAAAGTTTAACTTGTTTGCTGGAAAACCACAAGAGAAAGGTTTTGTAATGTAAAGCCAAAAGGGAGCTTTTTCTCATTATCATAAGAGGCAACTTAGTTCAAAGGATTGACTAAACACTTGAATTTGGATAGAGCAAAAGGAAACTATTAGACAAGAGGAACACTTCAGTATCAGCAAGTGAGGTTCACATCATTTTAACTTCAGTATTGTGTATTAAAAGATGTCAGACAGAAACAGATACAGCGAAGTGACTTTAGATTGTAGTTAAAGTGTTAAACACATACAGTTTAAGGATTCAATCGACTTAATGATGGTGATTGTCAGCACATAAAGCACAAACCTGGATTTACAATTCTAGACAACCCTAACTGACTGCCATCTGATGCAGCACCTATGAACATACCCTGCAAGAAAACATTCACCGATAGATTAAGTAGATAATAAATTTAATACTTTTACAAATTTGTTTTGACACAAGGATTATTTTTTTATAAAAGAGGGAAAATTTTCTCCAGACCTGGTGTCTTGTTCTTTCAAGTTCCTGCTCCAACTGTGCCAATTTCAAACGGCTTGATTCGAGTTGTTGTACATAGGCCTATCAAACAAAAAAGAAATATTATATAGTGAATAACGTCCATCAGGATAGGCTTCTATGGGAATGCTTATCCTTCTACCTTTTTCCGCAAACGACTTTTCCGAGCTGCTTCACGATTTTGTGCCAATCGTCTCTGTACCTATAAGTAGGAATATGTCTTTACATCATTGAATTTTCCATTGCAAAGAAGTCCAGCTAAGGTATAGTTGTCTTTGCTCCAATCAGAAACCAAATTATAAGGCAGCGCAACAACAATAAGATTTATTCTTGATTCAGAGGCAGAGGGAGAGGTAGAGGGAGAGGGAGAGAGAG